CACTCGTCAAGCTGCACTCTGAAAAAACTCCCAAGCCCTTGGGCATCCTGGGGCACCCTGACACCAAGCAAGGCGGCTCCTTCCCAGCCAAATATTTGCAGCAAAACGGGTGCCAACGATTTTACACCCTGAAACATGATGGATTTCCCGTCATTTCCTAGTCCGGTCAATTATCGCTTTGTACCTCTCGGCAGGTTCAGTTCAATACTTCGATATGTGGCACCTTCTGAGGCTCTGTCATGGCATGCAGGGTGTGCCCAATCAGCAGTTTCATTAACTTTCAAACCCTCCAACTCCAAACCCGAGGGAACCATTCAAAGAAATTCTCAAAGGATTGGATGATCAAAATCAGGTTCCCGCGACTTTTCCTTCTTTTAAGAGATATCTTTGGAAAAAATGCAACATCCTTCCGGCGATCAACCTGCCCCGCCACCGAGACAATCCCAGCCAGTCTCCTGTGGTTTTTGGGCACTGCCTCCAAGGCAAACTCCGGCATCAAGCGGGTCTTTGCCACCTGGGAGTACGATTTGAACTGTTTGATTCAATCCATCAGGAACCGCCTTCCCAACTACACATCATCGAAATTGAGGCAACCTGATGATACATATTTCAACATGTTTCAATATTTCAGATTGCACAAAGGTTCTATAAGCTTGTTTGACCACCCAGCTCCAGCCAACCCCAAGCAGTTTCTGGTTGGCACCCAGCGGGCGCCTGCCAAGAGTATCGGAAGAGGTATTCAAACGCGAGGCCTGTGCAGAAAGCATGCAGAATGCAGTTTTTTTGTTCATGGCAGGTTATGGTGAAAAGTTATGAAAAGTTGGTGTTTTTTATAGATCCATATTGGATTCATCATCCCAAAACAGCTGGGATAGACTTCAACCATGCATTGAAAAGCCATTAGTCAAGAGGTTTTTTATCACCGTAAAAGCCTCAAACCTGGGGAGGCTGGTTTGGCTGGTCGAAATCCTGCTGAAAAAGGCGAAACTTAGGTAAACAAAAGTGTTCTCGTGCCATGTTCATCCATATTTTTGGAATTTAAGTGGCAAAAACACAATCGTTAAGTTGACAATTCTGAATTTTCAAGAGTGAACTGATCAAAAAAATGGTTTTACAGTTTTACTATGTTTTACTGGTTCACTGTTTATGTTTTTTCTCCTGTATGACCTATCTCTGTTTCGATCCCTGAGATCCTCCAACCCACTGGGCACGGCGCAGCAACATGCGTGCCTTTCTCGGTGGTCTGCCAGGTTCCCTCGAAGATCACCCAGTAGGGCGACGCCTCAGATCAAAAACCCATGGGTTTCCCTAGGAAACATGATATACATCACCACTACCCTCTGGTAAACGTTTACATAGCTATGGAAAATCACGATGTTTAATAGGTAATTCAACTATAAATGGGCCATTTTCTATAGCTATGTTAGTTTACCAGAGGGATGGCTTTTCCATATATTACCAGATCACACCTTCTCTTGATATGTGTTTGGTGTTGTCTACCATACATTTTCTTTTTCTACCAAGACATGGCGTTTTTTTTCCATACATTGTCTTAAGCATGTCATTTTCCAGGTATTACCTATTTGGGATTATTTGGGTGTGTCTGATTTTTTTTGGGGAAACGCCCAAAATCCCAGGGATAGTGAGATAATGTCACTGTTCACCAATTACAACGTTTTTTTGTGTGTGGTTTTTCCGAGTTTTTGGATGACCATATTGGTTGCAGTACGTTGCCTTAAACCGTTTTGAACATTGGTTTCGTCATTGGGGGCAATTAGTTTTTAGGCTGTTGATGTATTTGGGGCTTGGACCCCACAAAGCCAAATGTTTTTCCTGAGCTCGATGTTAAATGATGTTAATTGAGCTTGGGGCTCCCTGATTTGTGGCAACGTAAAGCATACCTCCAAAAACCAAGATGCGAATCCCGAATCCCCGAACCTAATCTTCTCTTGGTGCCAAACATGCTCTTCCAAAGCCGGCTGTTGGAGGTTCCAGCGCTTCATTTTTAGAGTCTGATTATCCACCAGCGCAGCAAAGTGCAAACCCCTTTGTCTTCCACAACTGGCCCTCCAAGGTCGCAAACCCCGGAGCCAGGCAAGGTTTGCTTCATGTAGAAATGGCCGCAATCCTTGGTTCTGAGCACAGGAAATCATGTACCAAATCAGAGGCAGATCCCACCCAAACAGACCTTCAAGATGGTAAGGGAATGTACGGGGCACATCGCGGAACGTAGAGTGACCCTGCTGAGCAGCTGAGCGAATCAAATCTGCCATGAGTATATATATATATATTATACATATATAACTATATCCATGGGGCACCATCCGTCAGCATCTGAGGACAGGACAAAGAGCTTAATGGAGAACTCAACGGTACGAGTGCCTGGGGTGTCTGGGTATCGGGGCAAGGGCCAACACACTGGTACTCTAAATCATATCCTCTCAATCTCCAAGATAAAGATGTTCCAATATGTATTGACATGTTTTGACAGCATGACCACGCTCCTATTTTCAATTGAAACTATATAAGGTCATCAATCTACCAACCGACGTTAATGGCTTACCCTTTGGAAGTTTGACATTGCCAGCGCACAAGGTGCCATCCAAAGACTGGGAAACCCAAGCTGACTTCACACTCGCCGAAGAACTTCCCACAAGGCTTTCCCTTGACTAAGACCTGGCAACACCGCAGAACCAAGGTGTCATGAGGACATTGAACCACAACACAAGGACAGTGGCTTTAAGGGTGGTTCAAGTTTCCACCTCTTGTTTTTATGTCACCGAGTCACGTGTTTCTTGAGATGGGTCAAGTTGTTCTATTAATCTGGAGAACGGCTACTCAGAGCGACTGTAGCTGGGTTTCGCAACGTCACATCCCCAAATCATTGTTCGCGAGCATCTGTTACTTGGGCTACTTGGAAGATCATTCCATGTAGTAACTAGTTAAGTGCCCTAGTAAGTCTCATAAATGGATATAAATGGGTTATTCCCTTGATAACTGGGTTAACCACCAGCTGGTTGTGCAGGTTGATCCTGAACTACCCATCTTGCTGGATCGTACTGGTCGATCAATAAACCCTGGTGATCCATCTCCTACATGTGGAACTTTCCACCATCTGCAAGACACCCATGGGTATAGTATAGATATATAGATATAAAGATATATATATATATTGCATACATATAAGTAAAAAAATAAACAATAAAAATAAATGGACTACCCCCCTGGCACTCTGGTCATCCAAAGCATGGCTGTTGGAACATCCCCGATTTATAGACGATCCAAATGATTCTCCAATTATACATCCGTTCATTGGGGAATCCCTGGCTAGCCATGTTTGATGACACCATAGGGTTTCGTGAGCTGATCCTCCCGTCAGCAGGGGAAAAGAGCCTTCGTCTTCTTGGGCTGAAAGCTCGCCTGCCTCAGCAATCTTGGCCGCGGTTTCATACTCTTCCTCCATTGTATGGAGTCCTCCATTATATGCCAATGGCTGTTTTAAACAAATACATTAAAGAAAACTCATCAACTGAACAACTCGGGTTTTCCCGGAACATGGGACCTTGAACTTCACATTTGGTCAAGTAAGGTAATTGAACCTATAAATGCCACCTGAACTTTGAAGCTCATATCATTTTACTCTCACCGAATGTGGTCACTGCCCTTCACCCAGCGAGCTGAAGCCGGCGTTTGGACTTCCACCGTCTGGATGAAAGGCCGGGCAGTGCCCACTTTGGCGCCCAAAAGGCACCATTGACGCGGGGCTCCCCAGAGGGAGCACGTCTGAAGCTGACCAGAGTCTTGTGGTGCCCATACAATACTACAACTTCACTACACACACACACATATATATATAGTGAAATAAATACAGATATATGATATATGATAAATACAGTTACATAGCACCATAAAAACAGCTCCGACGCACCCTTGAACGAACTTCAAACATCACCCTTTGGCATGATCTGATCAGCCGCTGGTTCTTATGCCTGTCAGCACAGCCGAGCGCAGTCCGTTTGGATTGCTGCTTGGGCTGGCGAGCTAGACACGTCTGCGGCCCCGATGTTTTTGTGGAACGGTTTGGTCCTTTGGTACCCTTAACCAATTGATATCCCGCAAGTGTTTCAACATTTGATGGACGGATGCACACCGTGACTCAATCTGTGGGTGGCTTGGTTCCAAACATTAACTCCCAAAACATATCAAAACCTCTCACCAATGACGTTACTCTGGTCTGTTGAATCAAAGCAAGGTAGGTCATCTAAAGCCAGAGGTTAAGAATGGTTAAGATTTTTTTTTCAAATTGGGACTCCATTGCGTGGTGTCTTCCACTGAAGTGGTCTAAGTGGGAAGTACCTGTGTTGCATCCAGTGAAAAGCCCCAGGGGAGGGTTGGACACAACTCATAATAGAGAAGCTTCATATAGCCTCCCAGTATACCCGCATCCTGCTGCCATCATAAGGAGCCATGGATCATGGATTTTGGCCCGGCGTTGGTGTGGGCCCGCTGGGCCCGCAGCCGTGGTGTGGAAAACTGGCATCCTCATCGTCATCAGCATCCATCCTCGAGCTGCACACATGGGGATGGTCCAAAGCTTGGACACGGCAATGACTTCCGGATCCGGAAAATAGCATTCTGCCAATGCATGTGAATACCCTTGTGCAAGTTTCTGTGAAAATGCTTATTATGGTGTTCGTAACCTTGGCTGTAATCATTATTTTCCATTTACCAACCATGAGGTTCATCCCTGTAATTGGGTTCTCGAGGCCAAGCCAGACATGGTGTACGCCTATGTGCCCTGACTTCTTGGTGACCTGGATGCGAAGAATCATGTCAAACCTGTTAACTCAAAGTTAACTCCACAATCTTTGTTAATTCAACCCACCCCTTGATGCTATAGATTGCTATATATTATTTATATATATATATATATTTCACATACACGCCCCATCTCTTCCCCAAGCAACGGATCACAATCCCCCTGCCTAGAGCAGCACCGCTCAGAGGCCCGTGAGGTTGGAAAAGGTGTTGGAGTAAGCCTGGAGCAGACGGGTCAAGGACCTGTCCAGCTTCACTGTGCACCCAAAATGAGTAGATCCTCTAGTTTCTAGACAGGTATTTAGTAGATTTGGTACAGGGATTAGAGCGATGGGACTACCACAGAACCAACTCAAGCAAATAAACTACATCTTAAGTCAAGCTAGCCAATAGGCTAATAGATAATAACAGATACCCAACTTTCACCATTGCTACGTATAGACAGTTACAAAAGAGCCAGTGTAGCCAGTGATGATTTCCGCGCATGTACTGTGATGTTTATTTGGTGCCTTCGTATCATGGCCGAGCCTTAGCTATCCCACCCAAATACGTTGCAGCCTCATGGGATGCATGGTGTAAGCCCCAGTGAGTACACCAAGCAACCGCGGAACAATACTATAACGAATATGGGCAAGAAACCAAGAACTATATAACTATATAGTGTAACACTGTAGATCTATGAAAAAAAAATCATCCAAATGTCCCCATCATCACTTGTTTCCCCCCAAAAAAACACATCACCACCATCTTCCCCAGCCATCTCCACCCCCAGGCGCCTCATAAGCCGTGAAGGTGATCGCTTGACCGATGGAGATCTTCATGAGTCGCGGGGCGATGCCCTTGTAGAAGGCCAAAAATCCTGGGCCATGAGGCCATGGCATTCCACTGAGCCCAGGTGATCCATAGAGTTAGGGACGAGGAAGCTGATGTTCATGATGTTAAACCTCCCAAAAAACAGGTGAATAGCATAAATCAGCAAATTACAAGAGGTTGACATTGTTAAAATACTTTTTTTTAACTGGTTCTTGATCAAAATTAGTAGAACCACAGCCACAACCAACAACAAACCTGTCTACTGGGCCAGCCCAGGAGGCTTATTCGGCATGGGTTGGTGGATTTGAATACCGATTGAAACGGTGGTAGAATGGTGGTCAGTTCAATCCCCTAGACAAATGATATTTCTGGAGGTGTCTTTCCTAAAAGATAATGAGTGTGGGTCAAAAGTCACACGGCAGTGACCTGCAGATCTTGCTACGTCTGGGAAACAATCCTGTGATCGGGGGCCTCACGCCCAGTTTAAGCCTTCGCAACTGGGGATGTAGTCAGCAGGAACTTTGGTTTAAAGTTTAAAACAACAAACAACAATTCATTGCAAAAGAGTCGTAGCAAAGGAACACTCAATATAAATCATGCTTCCACTTGATGCTCATAGGAAACCCTTGGGAAAAACACCCAGAATACAGGTATACTGAAATTAAATCAGCAGAAATCCAAATCAATCAACTCCCAGCCAGGGCTGTTCTTCCCGCTCCAAGCACCAGGCCTTCTTCTTTCAGAATGGCGCGGAAAGCTTGGATCGTACCTGCATCAGCTGCTGGACGTCTGGGAGCACTTCAGAGCACCTTGGAAACCTAGGGGGTTCTCAGCTCCTGGGTTGTGTGAATCCACAATATGTAAATAATGTTAAATAATGCAAAGGTAGTATAAGTACCCAAGAATCATCAATCAACTGTTGATTTTTGAACTGCTGAGTTGAGTTGTGGTAACCAACCAAGCTCATTGATGGTGAGAACCCTCCAATTATGCATATATATATAAAAGGTTAGTAACCATCTATACAATACATCCTAAGAATCATTTACACAATAACTAGCTATTTTTGAAACGGCATGGATAGCCGTGGTGTAGCACAAAAGGCACGTCCCTTTCTTGAGATCACCGTTGCGGCTAGCCCCATTCCAGAACTATTTACCTAGCCACTTCCGAGACTATTCATCTCAATAAAAAAAGGTTGGAACGTAAATGTATGTAGCTTACAGTAACATTGAAACTTGACACATCATATTGACACGTGATATGTTTCAGCATCTTGAAACCACACTGGATGAAAAAAAACACATCCATTACTTGGATTTGCTCTCTAAGAACCCCCCAAAAAAACCAAACAAAATATTCCTTACATATTTCCCCAAGTAGCAGATTTCCCATTAGCAAAGTAAAACAAAACATTTTCGGCAAATCCAGGAGGGTTTTTCATTTTCCCAGCCATCAACCTTCAATGGATTGGTTTCAGGGAAAATCTTAACCGGAAACCATCGATTTTCCCAGTAAATATGTGGTTTTCCTCAAAATTTTCCCGTGAAAACCTCCGTTGAAAAGTGGACATGTCCCATCGATGCACCTGTGTACTCCTTGGTCTTCCCGTCCTGCGCTTCGATCCTGGACTTGATCACCTAAAAAACCAAGCCGCTGCGGCGCGCCCCAAGGCGCCTTTTATATATCGAACATGTGAAGTATAGCATAAACATATAAAGATATAACTGGTTGGTGGTTGAGCCCTACCCCTCTGAAAAATATGAAAGTCAGTTGGGGTGATTATTCCCAATATATGGAAAATATACTGGTTGGTGGTTTTAACCATCTTGAAAATAATTAAAGTCAATAGGAAGGATTATCCCATATATTATGGAAATCATGTTCCAAACCACCAATCAGATAAAGTATATGATATGGTTTGTCATTCAGATGATATTCAGCTAAGAAAATGTCTTATGCAATCTTATGTATCTAAATATGGACAGGACACCTAGCATGTAATGTATATTATATAACATACGTATTTATGTGCACGTGAAAATTAAGAAGCATTTTCATGTGCATGTGCATGTCCCATTGTTTGGTCATACAAAAAAAACAGCAAGACCCAAATCTATGACTGACATGCGACGGTTCTTAGCCATTAGTTCTTCTGTACTAACGGCCTGCTGCAGGTATTATCGTTGCGATCTCTCACAGGGCATCATTGGATTTCCGATCCTTCAACAACCATTCCGGCAAATTCTATTCATAATTATATAGTCAAAAAAAACTTGTTCTATTCATAACTAGTCATTTAAAAGACCCATTAAATGATACAAAATCTTCTTGTGAAATAGTTCTCACATCAAAAAAACTTTTTTTTGGGATGATCCCCCGTTGCAAGGCGATGATTTCTGGTGCCAGGCCACGTCAATGGGATTGTTCAGCAAGGTGCTGCAGCAGCCCGTGATGCCTCCTTGCCAGCGTGGAGCTTCTTCTGGGGAAACCTTGAATTTATCCAATCCGAATCCATATCCAAATAGAATCCATTGGAAGGTATATATAATCCATATGAGTGTATATATATAATATGTATTCATCATACATTGGGTGGTTTCCTGTAAACGTTCCAAGGCACAGCGAATAGATCATAGAAATCAGGAAGCAATTTATTGGAAGCATGGGCGTCAACAGGAAAGAATGGTTGTGCAGCAATAATGGAAACTCTCAAAAGACATGGGAACGAACAAAGTCTGCGATTTTGACCAGCAAAAAGCGGGAAGAAAGTTGTTGAGATACTTTTGCAGGAACATATCATAGATGAGAATTTGCCGTGTCCAAAGGAAACTGTAAGATAGTGCCTTTCTCCCAGGAAACTAATTAATTCACATACTCTCACCTGATTGACCCCCAAGGCATGAATCAACCACGACAGAATGGTCCTTTTTCCATGTTTGATCAAACTGTCTACATGTTGGTCCCCGAAACAAACTTGGATTATCTAGCATTCCAACCAGATTTCCACTTTTAAAGGATCATCTCATTTAGTGACTGATTCGAAATCATAGTGAGAACACTTACTAACCAGATTTATGAACCACTTAGGGGTAACCTCCGCTATGTATGGAATATCCTTATACATATATACATATATATATATATATATATATATGAGCAGGGACCCCCACACCCCCCCCCAGCTAGATGGTTCCCCCCCCCTGTGGCAGGGGAGGGGGGTTTTCTCAGCAGCCAAGCCGATTGTTGCTGGAGGAATGGTTTCCATATATATAATATGTAAGATATAAATAGAATATGTGCAATACATATATATATATGACATATATATATGACATATATATATAGATATATATTGAATATATATATATATCGTATATGTGGTTTTTGATAGAATATAGATAGTATATGCCACATGTACTGCATCCACAGTAGATGTAGTATATACAATATAGGTAAATATGTCCGTTGAAAAAATACATATAGTATATGTGGTATATTGAATATCGACAGCAATACACGCTGTATATCTAGAGTTTATGCATATATATGTATATATATGCATATAAATATATATATATACATATATATATATATACGTGTAAAGTATGTACAATGTAAACGCAATATGTGCTAGATACAAGATCAAGATATCAATACGTAGTATCTAGAATGTGCATATATATATATTGTTTTTCTACTGTACATATGTCTAGGTTTGAATAGGTAAGCTTTGCGTAATCCATAGGTAGCAAATATGTTGTAAACCATGTGCGAGGCACGCTATAGACGGTTCGAAGAAAAGGTTATGATAGAAATATACAGGTAGACAAGGTCCGTTGACGAGGTCGTGGCTCTCAAGTGCGGCAAATAACGTAGAGATGCGACGTTGGAGGGGTGGAAAGGGGAGTATATATGTGTATATGTGTATGTATATGTGCAAATAACATGCAAATACTAGGTTTTGGGGGGGTGGGGGGTTAGGAGTGGGGGGGATACCATTGGGGGGGGTGTGGGGGGGTCCGGGGAACGGGCTCACATATATATATATATATATATATATATATATATATGGGTTATATGGGTTATATATGGTTCTATATGGAATATCCATGTACATATTGTGTATATGGGGTATGCACCGGTGATGGACCACTTTCCAACTGCCAAAACCAACTCTCCACGTTGGTCCTGCTACGGCGGACTGCCACATTTGCGGTGGATCCGTGGTCAGGGCGGACTGCAGGCAGGGCATGGCAGGGCCGTGGGCCGCCAAAGGATAGCTAAGTTGGTGTAGTTTCACACCTTTCACCAAAGGTCTTCCATAAACCCAACAGTCCACCAACATCACTTGGTGAATTGTTGGGTTTATGGATATACCATTTTTGTCATACCTTCAATGGGCTGAAACCACTGTGAAACCAACTTTTTTTTTCGGGGGGGCCCGCCTTGGATAGTGATCCCAAAAGGATAGAGAAATGAAGTTCCCCGAAAATGCGAAAGGGGTAATTAAGGAACATTTCCACATTGGGGTCACTATAACTGCTGGTTGGTGGTATACCTACCCCTCTGAAAAATATGACTTCGTCAGTTGTGATTATGAAATTCCCAACTGAATGGAATGTCATTAAATTCATGTTCCAAACCACCAACCAGACTACATATCTTAAATCACCAGAAAGTGCTAGCAAAGCTTGCTGGGGCAAAGTTTGGGCTTGGGCAGCCAGAAGTCACTGAGATTTTTTTGTTTGGGTGACCTCCAGCATCGAAGCGTGCGTGCTACCAAAGTTCAGCGCCAAGGCCACTGAAATATCTGAAAGGTGTAAATCAAAATCAGATATTCATGACAATGGCAAACTTCATATACCATTTACCAGGTGTAATATTCATGACAGGTAAAATGGCTGGTAATGACAACGGTATTCATGACAATGGTAATGAAATCAGCTATGCATCAGCTATGACAATGGTAAATGACGTGCGTCCTTTTTTCGGGTTTCATGGCAGGTTTGATAGTAATTCTTACGATATAAAACTCATAGCCCTCCAGGCTGGGTGCTACACACCTTGACTCGCCCGTAGAGGGCGAAGCGCACCCCAACGCCGCTGGCTTGTCGGATGCCAGTGGCACCAATGCCTGACACGGCGGAAGATCAAAGGGAAACTCACCCTTTTTGGATCCCAAAAGGAAGACCTTCAAGAAGACCCAAATAGACATCCTGGATGATGTTCACAATTGTGACTCTGAACATCTTGACGGCCAGTTCCATGCCATTTCCAACCAGAAACTCATCCCCTCCTGCGTAGAGCCCTGTGATGCCATGTTCGGTGGCCACCTTGATGGCATCGTTCCGGGCCGGGCCGGGCCGGGCCGGGCCGTTCATAGGGGAAGGGACCAGTTCATGGTGGATGTTTCAGCACAAAATTCTGAGGTTTCGGGGTCTTGTTGCAGAGGTCCAGAAGATATCTGGGTCTAGAAATCGTGTGCCGTATACCCCAAATAAGCAATATGAAGTGGTAAAATGATGAAAAATAATGACAACAACAGTAGATTTGGGGGTGTTCTTTCCCAAAAATCTAACAGACAAAGCCATGTGGTAAAACGTATCAATACTATTCAATACTCATCAAACATCATTGGTCAACTCCTCTATGGCCAAGATTTCCCCCACATCTCACTGGTCCGATGGGCCTGAGATGTCCTGAGCCCCCGGGCAGTTCGAATGGAGCCCATGAGGCTGGAATATCTGTTCCTCACAAGCCATGGCAATAGAAGGGAGGTCTTTGATACACTCAGAACAGGGTATTTCATGGTGTCCGATGCGGGTTTCAGGATCAAAAAACAACATAAATTAACATCATGGGATTATCAAATATTATCAATGGATGATGGGATTTGGCAATTGTAACTGGCTTTCAATGAGTTGATTAAAAAAACAATTTGTCAGAAAACTCATAGGGTCTCCACCCTGGCGCGTTCGACAGATGGTCCACCTCCAGGACCACTGATTTCAGGCCCAAATGGGACTTCAATCTACGGAAAAAAATCATCAACAACCTACATTCAAGATATTCTGGTTTATATACATATATATATATACATTATATATATACATATTATATATATATATATATCATTATATATCTGGTTGGTGGTATACCTACTCCTCTGAAAAATATGACTTCGTCAGTTGGGATTATTGTTCCCAATAAATGGACAAGTAAGATTCATGTTCCAAACCACCGATCAGACCTTAGTTTTTAGGGAGGACTGGGTGGTGACCATCTGCATCTACCATGGTCTGAAAAGCCACCCATAAAACACCATCAAATATCGACCCCCCTGAGAAGTATTCGTCCGGGATCATGATGGCAAGATTTTGCAAGTTGGATGGAACATTAAAACAACACTTCAAACTTCAAACCACCAGCCAGATAAGAACAAAAATGTTTCTACCCTCCGGTAATGAAACATTCTAAAAAATAACATGCATGGATACGTATAGGTGTGATTGTCCATAGTCCATAGCTACTGTGGATGGTTGCGAAATCCTGCACCAGTTGGGATTCCTCTTAGTGACACTTGTGAAATACTTATGAAACACTGTAAATCATGGGGATGATATTCCTGGCAGGACGTCTTCCCATGTGCCAACTAGATCCAACTGGATTTCGTTCGCAACCATCGCCCTTGAGCCAAGGTTCAAGCCCGACTTGATGTCGTTCTGACGCAACACTTTCAGACGTTCCGTGGGCGTGGTCCACAAAAAGGCCTCCACTAACGATGAGATTTGCAGGCTCAGTTCCAAATGTCAATGGGAGGATGGAAAGAACAATAGGAAATATGGATATGAGTTATGATATTGTGGATATGAGAGCTATATGAATGATGTTTAGTTTATTCTTTTTGATAACACTGATGTAGATAATAACCATCATAACAAGCACTAACCAACAACATTGTGAGACATGTGAGCAACACTACAGTGGCATTGAGATACCGAGATACCCCCTTGCTGTGGCCATAGCAGAAGTTTCTAAAACTGAGGATGCCACAAACCATCTCGAAACAAATAAAACTTACAGGTTGTGCACCCCACTTGGCAAGTGAAGGAAATGATTAGTAGACCCCCTAACTAAGTTGTAATCACGGCACATGATCTCAAAGTTATTTCGTGAACACCTGAAAATTCACGCTTTTGCGGCTGTCGATTTCCAAGTGACCCTGAAATCTAAATTTGGTAACTTGAAATCCTTAAATTGAAAACCGCAATCGGGTTTCCCCATAAAATAGGGTGCCCGACAATGTGGTGTCAAATCGTAATTTTCCACCTCAACATGGCTATACATTTGGGCACCTCCGCGCCTACAAACCCAAATATAGGTTGTTGACGGTAAATCCGCATTGTCCTCGTCATGATCCACAGTATGATCCGTTTCGTTGGCAGAAAATACTTGGTGAAACTGCTTGTGCCAAATTATCTTGCTTAACCTCCAGTATATCACCATGAATGTCCCCAACCATTATCATGTTTAAAAAAACATATTTCATAAACCATCCCCCCCAAAAAAATCACCATATTTTTTGTGGTTTTTCTAGCCTTAACTCCTTTTTAAGATGCAGCCATGGGCTGCCTCGGCGAAGCCGGCCCCGATGCCGGCCAGGAAGTCGATGGAAGCTCTGGGCACTGGGGTCAGGTGCATCAGGAATTTGAACCTTGGCCAAGTGGAGGCTCCCTGGGAAGGATCGTACCCAAATTGCCCAGGAAAATCAACACGACACCAAGAGAACTTATATATTCACCCATGAACTATATATATATGTGTGTGTGTGTGAAATATATATATATATATATCATACATTAGTTAACTATTCTATAACAAGGTCAGAAAATATCAATATTATCAATTCACAAAAAGCAACACAGGCAACTGGAATCACAAAGGCTCATAACTGGGCTCCCAACTGCTCAAAAGCGGTGAAGCGAATGGCTCCTTTCCCAGCTACCTGACCACAAAATACCGGAATCTCGAAATCCTTTCCCCTGGATGCCTGATACACCCTTCTTGAAATGACATGTGTAAACGACATGTACAGTGAATAATACATCACAAAAAAAAACTAAATCCCAGAGTGTCCGCAACAAATACATGAAACACCCGCAGAAAGTGCATGGCCGCCGGGTTTCTCCAACATACATGAAACATCATGAAACATGAATGGACACAGTTTGGCCTGGAAATATCTAAGTTGTTTGGCTCACTACCAGTCAGAATATCGCCGAATCAACAAAAGGTTAGCCCCGTGGATTCCAGGGCAGACCTGAAGTAGGACCGCAGGAAGTCCAAAGTAGAAACCCTGCAGGCCTGGCACGGGGGCATCCGGTAACTTGGACCTTTTTCTCCATCAGGAGTTCAGCTACAGGGGAGTAAGCTTCAGCTAGAAGAGGAGAGTTATCTCTAACCTTGGCCCTACCATCTTTTGGGGGCCGAAGTTTGAGCCAGTTTTGTGGGAGACCAGGAACAAGAGACTGGTGGGCTGTTGTGACCTTGCCAAGGTGCCAAGGTGATCTGTTGGTGGTTCATTGATGCCCTGCTAGAAGTTTAACATCTGTAACCCACTAGGTGGTGTTTAACCATCTTTGTGCCCAAGAATAGCTAATCATCATCTAGACATTTTCCGGGATGTGATTGTCCTCCATTAATGGCTTAGACAAACTAATGCGGTAAACCCCAGCATGGGTGTGGCTGAAAGTTGAGTATGTACCCCAAATCTCATATGTGATCATTGTATTCGCCATTCCGAGACAATCCCAAAATGTGTATAAATACATGGGGTTTTGACATATATGTCAACCAGTAACTATATCACATCATTTGTTCGGAGTCCGAATGCAACATTGAATACACACAAACAAACCCTTATCCCAGGTTCAATTGACATGGAACTATAGTCGGACATACCCCAAAAACCAGAACTGCCATGTCATACCTAGAACTTCCTGGTTCCATATTTTGAATGTGATTGAAAATGAAAAAAGGTGAGCATAAAGCGAAACATCTAAAAACAAAGGGGGTTGCCACACCAAAGCAACCTTTTCCCAACCTCCCCCCACCCAAAGTGCGCCCTTCAGCTGATAGATCTGTTGGGCGCCCGCCACAGGTCCCATACCCGTGCGGTTCACCTGGGGAAAACCAGGCTTCAAAATGGTTCAAACGGAAGGTTAAGGCCAAAACCATGCATATACAAACACTTCAGGAAACCCATTGACTTTCATGAATGAATAAGCTTGAAATGGCTTTGTCATCAAGCCAAGGAAGAAAAACAAATAAACAAATACCGCAGTGTCAAAAAGGTGACCGTTCACCTAGCATCACTGTATTGATTTAAAGGATTAGGCCCCCCATGGGCCCCATGGTGCAGCCTTGCTTTGGATTACCTGATTGGCACCGCCGTTTGGAACACGGATCCACCACAGAGAACAGCTGCTTAGTCAGCTTAGTTGGCTCAGTCACCAGATTTCTCTACAATGGCCGTTTCGGACGATCACCAGAAGTTATCCTAGTCACGGTTTCCCCTCATGACCACGTGATAACTCAGATGAGAACCTGGGTCCCCGACTTCGGAAACCCTATGTTAACCATGTCATTACCTATGATTAACCCTGGATTGTGTCCCACTTACTTGGGCAAATTACTGTAATTTCCAGATCATACGTATGCAGCATCCCTATCCTATACAATTAACTATGTGAGGTATTGGACAAATATCCAACACTTACTAACTATTGCAAAAAATGCCAACATGTTTTGGACCAATTATATATGAGCCTTGAATCTCAGATCATCTACCAATTTTGTCTGACAATAACGCGTCATTTTGCAATGTTTAGGATAGCATCATCCCTAGGTCCCATTAATTCATCCAGCAATAAGTCCAGGAAAATCACATCGATCAGGAATATCTCAATTAATGCCCCCACTCATGCGTTAGTTTCTTGTATCCCAATGTGTTATTCGTATATATTCGTATTGATTCGTATTGGTGTAATCCTGTTTCCCAGTTTGACCGCCAACTAAGTATATCAACAATTTGGACGGTTCCTGCAAATCCATTGTAAGCCCGCCGTATACCCTTATTCTTATCATCCCAAATGCTCATCAATCCGAGATACAACCATGCTTGCTTGACAGCTACCGTTCAATTACATTGAATTATCGAGTATCATGGGGATTCAGCCAGCCCCAAAGCTGACCACCCCAGCCACAAGGGTTCATTACGGATTCATTCACCACCAAACATGTTTAGCAGGGTTTATCAATATTTTTCCTTGTGGGGGTCACCCTGACGCCGAGTTTTGGCTGAATACCCATGATATCAATACTCCCATTTTTCCATGGTCATCTTCTCTTAAACTAACATAGCTCCGAAAAATTACTTTTTTACCAGGCAAATCATCGAACTAAATGGGACATGGCTTCCACATTTATGTTAAGGAACATCAACGAAGATGGTCCCAGTATATCCATGCATATCCTCAGTGGTGGATTCTTAGCCATTAAATCGCCTGGCAAAAGGTCTTCACTGTGTCCAAAGGCATCGTCACCGAAACCTGCCGCATGCTGGGAAGCCACCAAAACGTGGATGGGGCGATGCCGAAACATGTCCAAAAAGCTCGGGAAAAATATGGGAAAATATCCGGAAATGGATGGACATGATTTAGATGTTACCAAATGTTATCAACACATGTTCAAGTTTTCGCATGCTTTGGATGTGGTGCACGCTTGGTTCTTTAAAGTTTTCTTGAGCAAAATCACAATGATTTCCATGACAACACACATGGTTAATTAATCATTTCTCTCAAGTGCTGGCCCAAGCTGATCAATTCATCATAGAGCTGGCCCCCAGTTTGAAGATTGGCTGCTTGATGGTGCAGTTCCAGTTATACATGAAATCATGAACATTGTAGGGGGCTATATGCCAACTTATTCTGGGGGTCATAATCCCCTGGTGATACCCATAAGAATAACCCCACCTGCAACCCCAAGTAGACTACAAGAGTGACTCAGTGACTCAGTGACTCCAACACGCTGATCCAATGGTTCCTCAAAGGTGTACTCTGCGAAAACTCAGTGAACCGAGTTCCTTGCTGTGAACTACTGTAGCTCCCCAAAGGGTATTCGAAACATAGTCTCCTCCTCGCTCTAGGCTACCCGACAGGTCAAAAACCGAATGTCTGCAACACTGATGTCTGACCAACGTGTGTACGAATGCAGGTCGCTGTACACCAACCACACTGTTCTTCCAAATTCATCCCAACTCCTCAGTTCAAATGTGGGACACGCGGTATAAATACCTACCATATTCCTATAGCATATCCTACCACTGGGGATGGGTCTCTGGCCCCATTCCGACGCCAGTCCGTCCCACCTCCGTGGCGCCGGAGCAAAAGCCCGCCACGAAGCTCACCTCGGGAAACCGCAGGAACCATGGCATGGCCAGTCATGGTGATATAGGTCATGCATATGATATTACCATATAAGTTATTATGTGCAAATATGGTAATAATATGGTAAACATATGGAAATAATATGGTAATAATTTGGCAATATGGTAATAATCTGAAATGGCAATATGGTAATAATATGGTAGTGAATAGATATGGCAATCACATCAGATCTTAGATAATGTTTATAATGTTAATATGGCAATATGGTAATGTTAAAAATTGCAATAATCTGATGAACCATAAAAAATAATTATCATATGGAATTGAAATAGAGGTACTGATATTAATAGATATCTAACTAAATTGGTGGTACACCTACCCCCCTGAAAAATATTAAAGTCAGACTGGATCATCATCCCAACTATTGGAGAAAATAAAATTCATGTTCCAAACCGCCAACCAGATATGGCAATATGGTGGAATAATCTGGCAATAAACTTTTTATTCCGAAATGCCATCATATTATGGAGGCACAATTGAATTATAATGAATACGGTGAAAATAATAGTAATGGTAATAAATATGTCTATAAATGGTAGTAATCATAGTAATGACAATAGTAATCAAATGAAAAGGGTGATAATACATGGTAATAATCTAGGATTTTAGGGCGATAATAGTATGATATAAATAATGGGTTTATGGTAAAATGGTGATAATGGTGAAAATAATGTGATATAATGATAAGTAAGATGATGTAAGATGTATAGTGCTGACAACATGGCTAGACCCAGCTGCCCAGTAGCTGGGCAGTTCCTTTATAAAGCTAAATCTTCACTTAGGCCTTGAACCCAAATATCTTGATATATATATATATATATTGATATATATTTATTATCTTCCCAGCCAGCAGAAGTGAAATAGCACCGCCCTGCCCTATTCACCAAGATTTTCCCACGAAACTCTGCCATTTGACGTTGAAACACCGCTGGGCTCGGGCACCGCCCAGTGCGCTTTCTTCTTGGGTGCTGCCACTTTCGTGGTGGCCGCATCAGCCACCTCAGCGTGATCGGCCCCCATCGGTGGGGACATCTTGGCGGACTGGGAGATCTTGCAGGCATGGAGCTTGTTCATTTAACTCTTTGATGAAGATAGGATATCGACCACATATCAGGATGCTTCGGTAGTGAGGTCAACAATATGATAACTGATTACGATATGAATCATTAATTCATAGTAAGTTCCGAACTCGATATGAGGTTACTTTGTGATGCTCCCCCGTGCAAAATATAACTTGTTGTGAGATCGTTGTGAGGTCAAAATAAACTATCCAGACACAAGAGACAATTCTGATTACTGTGTTGGGGGGTGACACGCACAAACTGATCCAAGGTGTAGTGTACAGTAGGTGTTTAGTCACAATCTCTTGAATATTGATGTCGCATCATTGCTATTGCCATGCATTTCAAAACAGAAGATAAGGACCCATGCCCGGGCTGACTTTTCTTCAGTACGGTTGGGTTCTGAGGTGGTGAAGGGAGTTTCCTAAATCTCTCAGTCGAATGCCTTTTGGCTATCTCTGCAAAAGGATGGTGTTTACTCACCCAAAGTCACCACACTACCGATGACTCTCAAATGTCATCTTGGAAGCCTAAAAAAGGCCTGTCCAAACACAAACCTGTATAGATATATATTAACATATCTCTATAAATTAATATATGCAATTGCTAACATATTCATACATATTCTACAGCCAGGTCTAGACCCCACTTCCACCACTTCAGTTCAAAGTCCACGTTCTGTGCTGAGATGATGACCTTCGAAGGCAAAGAGCTTGCTGAAGCCAAAGCCATCAGGAGCGCCTGGACACCGCCCAAAAACTTGATGTTTTGCGCTAGTTCTCCTGCATTTCTACTATTAGACTATGGGATGATCTCACAAAATCTACCACATCCATTCACCAATTTGTTTTCCCGTCTAGGCCAACCTGGGCCCACCCAGAGCCTGGTTGGGAAGAGAAGTCTTGGCTAAGGGCAGTCCCGTGCAAAAGCTGCGGATGGCCGGTGATATATCAAGTGTGTCAAGTCGTTGAAGGTGAATCCGGGAGAAATGACCAAAAACAGCGCCTCGCAACGTCGAAACAAGCAACCCCCAGGTGAATTGGCTAGTAGCTGCCCATAACTGTTAAGTCCATGTAAAATACATGTTACATGAGCATGGGCCTAGAACTTTACAAATGGAGCACAATCAAATAGGATCTAGGTATGGTGGATTTCAAGGGGAACATCTTTGTTTAACGGAAAATGGGGCACGTAGGGATCAACACCATCAAAATGGCACGTAAAATGCCAAAGGGCATGGAGCTGCTGTGAAAGGCATGAAGAATCCATTCCAGATAGGAATGGCACAAACGAACATGTGAAAACAGCAGCTGAGTTGACTGTCAAGGATTTTCCGGGCCTTGTCATGCTGCATCCTGTCTGTCACAAGTGCAGAAGTCGAATTGTTGACCATGTTTGCACAATGATTTGTCAATAGCAAACGCATGGTTTTCACTTCCGTATTGTTGCAAGAAAGGGGTGCGTCCCAAAATTGCCATGTCCCGACCAGAAGGGAACAGAACACAGTTTGAAAAACCTAGCGTTTTTGGGCCCACTTCTGCTTCCAGCAACATGTTACCCTCTAGCTCACACTACAATACATGATTTATTCATGTAAGTTCATGCCCCGATGCATATATTGTTCAAACCATGCGACATGCCCATCATGACTGGGATCATCCCCCCTTTAATGGGCATATGGCATACGGCACACGTAAATTCCATTTAACCCCTATTAGTGGGGTATGACCATCATTAACCATTCCCATCCCTGGAAACTAAAACCATGGTTTAACCATGGCACCTATAGGAAAACCCCACACCAACCGCGGAATTTGGCAACATGGGCGCCCTACAGAGCGCGCTCCGGCAAGCGGAACCTGACGTGCAAGGGGGGTGGCCCATGATTCTGGCTTTTTGTGCCTCAACATGACATGTTTGACGGTTTTGGGGCGGTTCCCTTTCACCAAGCGTCCCTGGTGATATCCTCGGATCACACGAGGAGCTTTGTTGGATGGAGCCTCATATGTCCTCTCCATCCCCCTGCATATTCATACCACGCCCTGTGTAAGTTGCAAATCTTCTCCGACATACCTCCCGATTTATGTATCCAAAAACTAAAGGCTTAAATTATCCTCAGCTATCATTTAAAAAATATTAGACAATCATAAATCATCTTAAGCCAGCAATATCAACTCCCCAACTCATCAGTTAGTTTACGGCTCCCATGCCATGGCAGAAACAAGGCGGGCGTGACTTGATGACCTTCTCCTCAAATCGAGTCTTGGTCCTCGTTGGAAGTTCAACCACCAAACATGGGGACTCAAAAAACCACCAGTTGTGGCGATATAATTTGTAAAATCTTATACCTAAGCAACACTATGTTTTCATTTGGTGTGTCTGAAAATGCTGGAGGTCCCGAAATGGCAACTTTGATGGGAAAATTACTGATAAACCGGCACGATTGAAAGTACGTTATTTTCAGACAAACCCATGCTATGAAGGTTTCCTAGTTATTATTTATTCTTGGGTTTCCTCTCTGATTCCACGTGTGGCTCATTCTGCAAGCTCATGGCTCATGGCGGCTAATTTTGAGGTTTCTTGGTTTTCTGCTTGTTTTAACAATAGCCGGCTAAAAGCCGGTCATTCAAATGCCGAAAGCGTTGATCATGCCACCGAACCCCAAACAAAACATGGTCGGAATTCACTACCAAACACAAACAATCTGGGTAAATTATGATATTTCACTAAATCTGAAATGTTGGGCCATTTGGGGATGATGTTCCTTAACCATGATTCCAGGCTTCGGTCGCGACGTGAGGTCGTTATACCCAGAAACTTCACGGATAAACGAAGCATCAGTGGAACTTGTGAGGATCGAATCGAGAAACCGCGATGGATTTGTTTGAAAAAGTGTGCCAAAAAATGTGAAGACACAGCAACAAATGATAAAACCTGCTTCATCTCAAGGGGTAGATGGTAAAAGCAAATGCTCCCAATGTGCCATCCAAATTTGGTGATTCTTGGGTACTAATTAATGTCAACACCTCCCATTTCAAGGGCCAACAAGCGCAGGTCCATTAGACTTATTGAGACCATGAGGAAAATTTATGCATTTTAAACGCAATCCCAAACCATATAGCATAATTCTGTGAGTGTGTGGAAAACGATGCTTCCCCTTCATAGTATCCATCAAACTGTCAAACTGTCCATCAAGTATTGCTCGGCGATTTTCCGTCGTTGAAAACCATCCACAAAGACATGTCAACTAGACAACTTTATCAGTCTATGTTCATCGATGTTGAAGCCATATCTTTGATGATGAAACCCCACAGAGACTCTGTTCAAAAATGTTTTTAACTTGTCAAGTGAACCATCAAAGATACCCCTACAGTATCCCATCCAAATACTGGTTCATAGCATGCTATTTCCATTTTCGTATATGATCCCAACAATATAAAACACCTAGTATACTCAGCTGCTATAACCCCTTATCCCCTTTACTATCAACGGAGTATTTCGGCCCTGAGGATTCCGGCTTGATCGCCACAAACTTCGGAATATCCTCATCTTCCTCGATCTGCACCTGTGCACTCACTCAACCCCCCCCCCGAAAGCTGAGCACCGGAATGATAACTGGTAGGGCCAGGGCTGCCAGGGACCTGAACTTTGGGAAAATGCTTGCAACATGAGTGTGCCCTTTGTAAAATCACAATTCGAATGAGGAGCATGATTTTTACTTGATCCAAAAAATGGGGGCACACACTTTCAAACACCAAATCACAAAAGATCAACAAAATTTATGATTCCAGTCCTGGGAAATCCATAAACATGGGGAAAATCCCAGAAAATCGGACACCTGCGACTGACCAATACACCGCTGATGTGGTGACCAGAGCCCATCGAAGATATTCCTAGCGCCTAGGGCCATGTGTCTGGACCAGTGGTGCCCACCTTTGGATTGCTCCGGTGTTGTTTTCTTACAGCTTCTGGTCAACCTTGCGAGTGTGTGCACCACCCCAAACAGATGATACAGTAGATGACTCAAAACTGTCCAAACCTATCCCAATCTTGAAGAATTTACATACACATATTTTTTACTAAGGCAATAGGATCCACCATCCCCAATTACTTACCACTTCCAAGCAGCACCTTCTCAATGTGGTCGGTGCCTATCACCTCAAGGAACTGCTTCTCTCAAGCTCCAATCGAGGGGGGGACTCACCATTAAAAGGACCCGGGATTAACACACAAACATGGAGATAATCATGGTTCATGATGGTTTCTATCACAATTTCTATCATGGTTTTATCATGATAAAATTGTGCCGTTGTGAAGGTTACAGTTCAATGAACCAACAACAGTTGGGATATAACAAAAATCCTTTCGAACAAAGGGGGTTTAAAGATCAACAACGGAAGGGCTTTTACACAAATTATACTACAGAAATGGGAGTGATTTTTTTTGGCTAAAAATGGCGATGTTCAAAGTTTGACTAACACAAACGCGACTGGTATATAGAAGCAGCAAAAAATACACACACACACATCTAGCCGCTACCGCAAGGGATACAAAAAGAAATCATGGGACCCAACAGTATCCAGCCAAACTTTCAGGATCCCCTGAGCGTCCTGAGCTCAGGACGCTGTTGCGCTGTCAGTGTTACCCAAGTCTATTCCACCAATTTACAGAACCCAGTTCCATCGTATTTATACAATAAAAAACCACTGATAAACCTATTTATACCTATTTATACATAATCACACACATATATATATATAATATCATACAATCATGTATAATTACATGTTGAGAAAAACTATCATGTGGTTGGAAAACCCAAAAACATGTTTCTTGGCTCCCCTTTTTTTGGGGAATCTGGATGGCCCATAGCTCCTTGGGTTCCCTACGCCATAGGCCGTTTCCTGGCTGACAGGTCCCGCAGTATGGGATGAACACCATGGCTTTATACGATGGCAGCAAAAGCAAGTTTCTTCCTAGGACATGATAGACATGACTTTTCTTGGCTAAATGTTACACTTGCCCTCTGGTTATTTAACATAGCCATGGAAAATGGCCCAGTTATAGATGGTTTACCTATTAAACATGGTGATTATCCATGGCTATGTTAGTCATAACCAGGTGGTACCTCGGTTAACTTTCGATAAGATAAGTATAACATTAAACACACACACACACACACATGCTGACACAGATCCAAGCCTGCGCCAACTCTTGGAAGCTCATAGGGCATTCAAACGCCTGGTCAGAACACCCCCAAAACACAGAAATTCCTCTTCTCTAGTGGTTGCTAGACTACAAGTTTTCTAGATTTTTTACATCTTGAAATACTTAATGTTAGTTTCAAGAGATGGTCCACAATGTTCCAGTCCTGTTGTTTCAAGATAGTTATCCAAGTGGCCGATGTGGACCTGTTGTTTCCATAGAAGCTCAAGACTTGCAAACAAAACTCATGTGGTAAACCCAATAGTAATCCATCCAACATTTTACCTGAAATGGATTGGAGCTTATACCATTGGGTTTAGCACATTTATCCTTGGTGATTTTCACTTTGGCTTGAATGGTAAATATAAATGGTTCCAACTTAGCCACAAATGGCTCGGCAAAGAGGTTTCCCAACTGAGGCTATTTTCCTCATGCTTGTGAGCAGGTGGGATGTCAAAAACCCTTCTTCATGGTGTCCCAAATGATTCATCAAACCATCGATGACGTCACTTCAGTTGGCTTACCCTCTGGTAATTTCACATAGCTACCGAACATCACCATTTTGGATCGGTAAATGATGGAACTAAGTGGGCCGTTTTCCATATGTCTTCCATATGCTGAGTTAGTAGAGAAGCTAAGGTCTCAACAAAAATCCAGCCACAAAGCAGATAAGAAGCCACGCGGCAACGCTAGCTCACGCCGCCTCCCTGTTTCGACACAGAGACATCGGGTCTGACTGCCAAGTAGACAGCTCGATGCGATGAATCAAAAAAAAGGTGCGCCTGTTTTGTTGATCGGAGGTCCAAATAGGGCTTAGCTGGAGGTAAATGGAAGTTAAACTTCATGCAGGAATGCAGTTGCAAACCCTCGAAGGATCAACAAAGGCATCACGTCTGCTGTTCAAAGCTCCTTGAATTGAATGGTCCTGTCATTTCGAACCATTCCCTTTGCCTTTTGACGCGGCCAATCGCACAAGGAAGGTTGGCTGATGCTTAGCAAAATGCTCCGATGTAACCCATATGGGGGTGAGTCAGTTTGTCCCTGTAGGTGTCAATAGGTAAACCCTAAAGTAGTTGGGACTTATGGGTATTGATCCCCTAAATATAGTATAAGTATGTACAAGCATCATCGATAGATTTTGACCCATCACCATAGTCATAAGGTCATGAACGTAGCCTGTTTCTTGTTTTCGTCCCTCTGGAGACTATGGGATGAAGCTCATACAAAATACGAGCCTGAGCCCGAGCGCCTTTTAGCATGCTTCTGCCGCCATTTCCAGATATCAAGTCATTCAAAGGCTGAGTTCTGGAAAAGCTCGTGACTCGTCATCCCAGAAATGTTGTCATATGTTGTGATTGCATATCATGTCGAACCTCGAAGCCGTGAATGATCCAGCCTTCACACTGATGGGATCTGATGGGCTAAGATCCATCCACCAACCTATTCCCTTGTGTCCACGCCAGTGGAAAGGGACGATCTCCGAAAAACAAAGCCAGCTCTTTGAAAAACCATGGCTGCGCGACTCCAGCAAAACCCAGTCCGAGATACAAGATCAGATCTGCCTTTTCATTCTCTTGGATCTGCCTTTTCAGTCTCTTGGACATGTCATCAAAACAACATAGTTTTTCCAAAACCACATTGGTTCGCTCTCCTCCTGGAGTGATGTTTCGGTTCCGAGCCGCTGCAAGCTCCGCGTGCGAAACGATTGGGGCTCCAAGGCCTTCCGCCGCGCCACCTTCGCTGCACGCCCCTAATGATGACGAGGGAACAGACCTGAGACCGGAAACTATGATGTTCACCGGCCAAATGTAGAGGTGAAAAAAGTTCAGGGAGGATACACCCTTATAACCTCATCCGCATAATCTCCAAATATATTAAAATTTATATATAACACACACACATATATATATGTACACAGTATATATTTATATTTACAAAAATGCAAAATTAAATATACCACCCCAATTCTGGAAGCCTAAAATTAATAAAATCAGGGTTTCTGATGAGATAATTTGAGGACCAGAAGAACCAACTACTAATCCCATAAATCGCGCGTGCACAAATCAGCCAAAAACACGGATATGAATGGAGCAGTGAAAATTCACCATTCAACGCCACCTTTCTTATCCTTTATTAATGACAATTGCCAATCAGTTGGGTTCCCGGAGTCATCATCTAAAACATCTACAAAACATATTGTACATAAAGTTTTTATGTTAATGTTATCAAATGTCAACAAAGAAATGCTATATAAATGTGTTTCAGTTATAGATGATGTAAAATGATGGAATATAACTTTCTATTTAAATATCTCAAGGGTATATTCACTTATGTAAGTGTGCCTGCACATTGTGTAAAGAGAAAAATAACGATTGATTGCTAGACAGCAAATAGGTGTGGAAACATGGATGGATAGACAACAAAGCAGACTAATTGAAGCCAATCACCTCGACCTTTCCATGTCTGATGTTGCGACCTCGCAATATGCCGCAATGCCTATCAAAAAGCATCGCGACTTCAACGAATTCGCTCGCTGAGCGTTGTTTAAACTCTTGCCGGGCAAGGGGGACGCATCAAACCGACAATACCCCACCGCCTCCATCATTTTGGTTCCGGCATCCCACTAAAAACAGATCAAAGTGAGCTACACAAAGTGGCCAGGTAATACCAATATCAATGTGTTTAAAATCGAGCTGTAGAGGTAGGGGCCAGGAAAAACTCGACTGGAAACGGAAACTGCACGAGTTTTGATCGGAGTCCGATGTCGTTTTCACGACCTGATGGTTGATTTCCGGCCGTTGACCGCTTGCTTGTTGCATGATTTGTATGATATGCATGTGCCCATGCCGTGGCCAACCGGTACACAACAAAAGATGATATATATATATATCTGTATGGTGCTTGAGCCCTACCTCTCTGAAAAATATGAAAGTCAGTTGGGATGATGACATTCCCAATATATGGAAAGTAATCCAAATGTTCCAATAACCACCAACCAGTATATATATATATATACACTTCTATTTACAGAACACAATGGGTTTGTCAGCTTGTTCAAATCGGCCAAATAGGCAATGTCCCCGCTTTTACGGTGATGACGTATATTCATCTCCATCTCCGTTGAATGGTTGTCAAATCAAGTCCGGATCGGCCAAACTATATAAACATTCACAGCTCATGAACCTAAATGCATGGGATGAATATCCATTCGCCAGTTTTCATGATGGATGCGATTCAAAATCCCCCATTGGCTCTCTGGGCCAATCACCTATACATACAATCCCCGGAAAAAAAATAAGGCAAGTTTGGGATAATTGCACCCATTAAAACAATATCATGTATGGGAGACGCGCCACTGAGGTCCCTATAATTTTACCAAACATCTTCAATCTCAATGATGGAGGCATGTTTCAGTCCATTTTCTGCTTGGCGGCTTCAATCAGGATACTAGGGAATGGCAGGGATGGAAATCAAAACATGTTTGTTTCATCATGTTTCATCATCCCAACAATAGATAGTAATAGATATGGAAATGCAACATGTTGAGATGCGCGATGAGTCTGATGAATCTAGAAATCACCAACCACTTTTGTCTGCTTGGTGTTGGCAACCGAACTGAAACAATAGCCAGTCGATTGGGATCCCATGCTTGAAAATGGGCTCACACTTGAAACCACCAAGCAGTCATCTTATCAGCAGCCTTGCGTTGCCCGTCCCAAAGAGCGGGCGCAAAAACTTCCAGTTCAGCACCGGCGCGGCAGCTTGGGATGCGCCTCCAACGACCGCCAAGGTCGTGGCGACTTTCACGTTGTCCCAAGCGCGCAGCACGGTGGGTCGTGCCAAGGGTTTTCTATGATGGCTTCGTGACCAGCAACACTAAGAATGGGGTAAACCCCTATTGGAAGAGTCTAATGGAATAGTCTGAGTCTAAGAATTGGATATATATATGTATAAAATGATTTAATAGTAATAAGTAATAACAACAATAATAACAATGATAAAATCCATATAGATTACAATCATTGTGAAGCTGAAAGTCCAACAACCACTCACAAGATCTTATAACTTATAACTCACTAACTCCCTTCACCATCGGCGAGGTCAAACCATGATTTCAATCAAGTAATCCTAAATACCCTACCCATCAAACCACATTTTTTAAAAGTAAGACAAATAGCTGGTTTATTATACATATATATATATAGATATATTCTATATCTATTTGATCCTATATATATAGAAAGCAAGCATATATCTATCATGTATCTATCATGATCTGGAAATAACATGAAATAACAAAGTAGCAAGCTACTTATCCAACATTGACCCAGTTCAAGGCATTTCTTTTGTAGGCCGTGGGTCGGGTTCTTGCGATAGTATCGTACTCATAGGACACCATGGATTTTACACTCAAGTACGGGGATGAATTAATGTAAAATTGTTTCTAAATTGCAACATTTTTCATGAAAACAATTCTGGGATACTAACAGCTGATTATAAATGAGCCAAATCAGATAGCACTAGAAGCCATCAAAGTTACGGTTCCACCATTGTACTTTGCACTTTTCAGGTAACAGTCCAGCGCCACAGGCGCATCTATCTCTTGATACCGATCTCGCCCCCCTAACATCACAGCCCCTCGGATTTCCGTTGGGTGGCCGAGGTTTATGTGGGACAGGAATCAGATCCTCAGCAAGTCTGCAGCCCAAGTCTGCACCGCTACTTCCTGCGGAGAAACCCGGTTCTCTGGAGGTGGATCATGGTGGATCACCCTGCAAGCCGTCCGTCTGTCACTGTTTTCAACTTCACAAAAGGAAATCAGTTTTTTTTGACTAATCTTAGTCTGACCAGTCTTAGTGTGTACAGACTGCTTCCCCTACATAGTGGAAAGCAGCAGAAAATCAAATGTGGAAATGTGAATGTTTACAGCTTTCTGGGGTAATGATTTCCCAGATTTTCCCAGTAGCTCTCAAGTTTCGGGGGCAGAGATGGCCCCACAGGTTTGAGTTTGTGTGGGCTTGGTACTGGTTAAACGCATATTTTGGTTTGCAAAACAAGCCAAACATACCAAGTGTGTGGCTACTTTTCCGGGAAAGGAGTGGGTTCCAGTACGCAAATTAAACTTACCCTCTGGTTATTTAACATAGCCATGGAAAATGGCCCATAGAAATAGATGGTTTACCTATTAAACAATATTAAACATGGTGATTTTCCATGGCTATGTTAGTCATAACCAGATGGTAAATCCAAATTTAAATCTTTAGTGTCTTTTACTGATCGGCCGGCCACTTGTAGGTGTGAACTTGGACTCCAGATTCGATGCCACTGTGCTATTGGCCTGGTTGGAATTAATTCAGATCATGACTGCAATGGCATAAGAACCAGTAGAAAAAAATAACTGGATACTGAATTCCCCACCAGTGGCTCCTAGACCGGTACTTGACAAAAATTGGACAGACGCACTAGAACTAGAACTTCAGAGTTGAGAAGAATAGAGAAGAGTAGTCAAAAGGAGAAGAGCATGCGAGAGGCCAAGAGTAAAGAAGAGGAAAATACATGAAAATACAGCAGCCTAAACAATTTGCCTACTTGGTGGTTCATCCAACTTGGTAAGTGGGTTATAACCCCAGTTATAAATGGATTAGCCCTACTTATCCTATTTATAACTGGGGTTATAACCCACTTACTAAGTGGGATGAGCCACCAAGTAATAATCAGGCGACCCAAATTCCAATGATTCCATGTTTTTTCCTCATGATCTCAGAAAAGCCTTGCCTTAAACTTGGGTAGCACCAGGTGCCCGCTTGGTGTAGCATTTGTGGTCATTTGCCTATGTTATGTTCAATGGTGATAAACCGATACCTATGTTGGGCATATACTCATTCCTGAATGCCCATTACATTACATATCATGAAATCATTGTAATCCCACATGTTGTTGGTTGAATCCGCATTATATAAATGTCATGGCCAATCTTAGATGCCCTGCACACAATCTATTTGTGTTTTAGCAGGCTAGTAAATATAGCTGATGTACATTGATGTACCATATTGATAGAACAAAAATATAACATATTGACAAAAACGCCAGCCAGTTGCTTGTCACAGATCCTTATCACATTATAGCACTGCACCTGGGAAAACGACTTGCGACCTGAATCAGAAATCTGCGACTTCAGGGACGGTTCCCATCACCAGCTGCCATAGCTGTCATAGCTATAGAAAAAATAGCTGTTTACTAGATGATTTACCCATTAAGCACTTGTGGTTTTCCATAGCTATATAATTTAATTACGAGACGGTATCCCAGCCAGTAAGTTACTATAAGACTTCCCCAAACAATACCAATATGGTTGTCTGGAAATTGGGGACGAACACCCGAGTTATGGCCATTTTGAAAGGGAACAGATGCACCAGTGGATTTAGAGGCAATTCCTTTAACTACCATGGCTGACACAATTTCTATTCATTAGTTGATGCACTTTAGAGGCAGTGAGAATTGATTTGACTGTTCTGTTCCGAGACAATTGATTGTTTCTCTGACAGTACCAGTGACCTGTGACATATTGGCGTCTCTGGAAATGGGGGGATTAACTCCAGATTTGGCACCCGATTTTCAAATCCATCTGACAGTTGTTTCGCCTCAGGCCATGGATAGGCCCACAGAATTCCGCAGCTTGTCCATGGCGACCATCAGGCCTGCAGCTATCGCGAAAGTCTGCCATGTTTGGAAGATCTGGAGGAAACCGATGGAATTCCAGGTGTTTCGAACGGATCTGCAGGAAGAATCGATCTGATGATATTTCGGAGAATCTGCGAGAAAAGGATGAAGTTCCATGAATTTCCATCGAAAATCTGCAGGCAGCCACCAGTCTCAGTGTCCGAAATTCTTGGATGCAATGTTTCTGCCATCCGATGGGTCTTTTCAAGACATATACTAGGGGAAGTTTCGTCCAACTTGGCCAAACACTGGCCAAAATTCATGACAACCGTGTGGCCAACCCTGTGCCAATGAATTCTGAAGAACTCACAGTAATCTTCATCTTGGTGCTTGCAATTTTGATTGACGTTCGTTTTTGGGTGTTTCTTGGGTGCCACATATCTTTGGACCCAAGCGACGGCCGCTCCGCTCACCCTGTTGATGTTGAAAAATGGACACCACGCACGAAAGGTTCATGCCTCAGCAACGGCCAATTTCAGAACGATACCTTGATGTACTGGTTGGTGGTTTCAACCCTCCGAACAATATTAGTCAGTTGGGATTATTGTTCCGAATATATGGAAAAATAAAAAAAAGTTCCAAACCAGGACCACCAACCAGTGTATATTTGTACCGACTTTGGAGCTGTAGTACATTGCGTATTATAGGTACTCTGGAGTGCGTACTCTATACTGAAACGGGATGTGAGTGAAGATCTGGTGCGGTGCCAGTCATGATCATGGACCTTGGGGACCTGTCTCCACCGTGTTCATCCCGGTTTCCGTCTCTATGCTTTTCCACACATGGCCAAGTGAAGGAATTAGATCATTGATTACCCGTGAAAAAGTGGCGGCAAAAAAATATATCCCCATTAATATGGACAATTACATGAACAGATTGAGCTGTAGCGACTTAACATGACTTAACTGCCCATTGTATAAACTATATCCCCATCCATTGGGCATATCCCAGAATGTACAGGCAATGTGGTAAACTCAAAACTGTTTCCGCCAAATAATTTCTGGAGGTTTCTGCCCCATGCCAGGTGAACTTGAAGGTGGCTTTCTAGTGGGTTGACCACATTTCAATGATTATATATTCGATTTAACTCTCATATAACTCGTATGGAGGTTTATGAAATCCCTATGGTTGATTGTTAAATCCTCCATTTCAAACATGCCACAAAAAATGTGGCTAGCTTACCACATTAAAACACAATATCTCTGGTTTTTCACGGCAGAGCCGGCCCAACCTTCGTGGCCTAGACGCGTGCCATTGTGCGACGCAAATACTTCAAGCCCTTGGAAGTTTAAGGGTGCCAACCTCAAAAAGTACCCTCTGGGTAAACTATGGGTAAATTATGGAAAATCACCATTTTTAATAGGAAAACTATGGAAAATCACCATTTTTAATAGGAAAACTATGGAAAATCATCATTTTTAATGGGAAAACTTTGAAAACTATGGAAAATCACCATTTTTAATGGGAAAACTATGGAAAATCACAAGCTTTAATCCGTAAATCAGCTGTAAATGGGTAATTTTCAATAGCAAACGGTTAGTCATTACCAGAGGGTAGTTGGTGACCGTTCACGCCATCCCAGCAAACTTTTTGTTTGCAGTAACAAAAAGGGTTCAGACTCAAGAATTCCATTGCCCACCCTAGGGAATCATGAGGTGTGTCACCAAATGGCCTTCTAAGTCCAAAAATGCCCATGTCAACACAAGATGAATAAATCCCCTCCAGTTTTCTGCTAGGGTGTACCAATTTTAGTAAGGTTATCCCCGACAATGAACAATTGGGCTTTGTGAACATCCGGGCTTGACATGACGAAAACTGAATGGACCCACTATGGACCCACTATGACCCACTGCTTGCGGACAATTGTGTTCCCGGCTTGATCCAAGCGTCATGTTCAGAGATACCTTCCGCTGGTGTACCGGGTGTTGTTGCAAACTCCGTCAGGATCCTCAGCCATTCTGGGCTCCTTTCAGGCGATCCTTTTTTTGGGGATCCGACTGGAAAGCAAGAAGGATGACATTACATGGTACTACCAGCCACACCCCACCTCTCAAAAAAGTGAGGTTGAATGTTCCCTCCTCAAATTGATTATATAAGAAAAAGTAACAGCATTTAATAACCCTCTACCATGTACCTACCATTCTGCCAACCATCTACGCCTACGCTTTGGTTGGCGTACCCGCAGGCCACAGAAACATCTCACGATTGCCCTACAAGCATGCCAACATCAACTGATCTTATGAAACAAAAACATCCCAAAGATGTCAGTTCTGTGGGGCATCCTCTTCTCCAATAGAAATTGCAAGCAAATCGCTAGCCCTACCAATATGTCTGCGTTTTCCGGTTTCTCTGGATAAAACCGCCTTGCTCTCCAAATTGTCCTTCCTATATCAATTAGCGAGTTTCTTTTTAAGCAATAGCGTCCCATTCTTTCCAAATTCAAAGTCAGACAGTCTAGGTCCATCCAGCTTGCATCCGGGATCCGCCTCCTGCTTTTTCAACAAACAACACCTGATTAGTCAATGGCCATTTCAGGAACCTAAATTGGAGGTACCTACCATATATAAGGCCTATTTTTCAGGCCTATGTAAGGGAATATCCCCACAATTCATATGGCCTCCATGGGGGTTTCCACATCATGTCACATCATGGGGGTTTCCACATCTGGGACCCAATGCCATCAACACCCATCACTGGGATCCCCAAGTCATCTTCCAGGCATCTGCAGCACTTCAGCACCTTGAGCAGACAACTTGGCATTCTTAAGCCGCTCCTGACCTTAGCTTCGCTGTGTCCCAAAATTGGATTTTGAGTTGAGTCATGTTGGTTAAGTTGGCACTCATAGTTTAGATTAGGCTTTATTGTAGATCGAATTCGCTCTTCGGGGCTATAAATCAAATGACAACTGGGTGGCGGTCGGGTCCCCTCTGGGAACGTTTTGCTATGGGAGAAATGCCATATGCAGCAGGATGTGATGTAAATAGATAGATGACTGATTACCCATTAAAAAACATGTGATGTTCCATAGCTATGTTGAATCACCAAAGGGAAAGTCTTTGGGTGTGGTGAGAAGCGAATGGATGACCCAATGCTATAAACCATCATGGTCCATCCCCAACTTGGCTTGGTTTTTGGGTCTCCCTAGCAATGGGATGATGTCATAACCCCCAGTCATGGTTCATTATTGGCTTTGCCATATTAAGTGGTTTACCATGGAATGTGGGCCATGTCTACCCACTTGCCAGGTAAAACAATGACTCACACCTGGTTAATCTCAGTGATACGTTGTTGGGAGGGTTTGCACATCTCATGACCATACCCTATGGCGATATACGCAGTTGGACCATTTGGGCTGTGATGAACAACAAGCAACTTTCAAGATAAGGGCATGGTGTTATATAGATATATAAACAATGATAAATAGATAAGACAAGACAAAATTAGATGAGATAAGATTAGATTTAGACTAGATGAGATAGATAGTTAGAGATATGGATATAGATAGAGATATAGGTGCAAAAATCTATAGTTATCATGATCTATCTATGTGTGAATTGGATTTCCCACATACCCTCCGGTAAACGTTTACATAACTATGGAAAATCACCATGCTATTGATGGGTAAATCAACTATTTCTATGGCCCATTTTCAATAGCAAACTGTTAAAATTGACACTTGATTTTCCATTAAAAATGCCGTGAATGGTTGATTTACCCATGAAAAATGGTGATTCTCCAGATCGCTATACCCATTAAACATATTAAATGACCAGAGGGTAACTTCGTTTGTCCCCAGCGTTTCGCAAGGCACACAAGGGCAGCATGAGCTGGGCGAGGTCTTGGGAACCAAGAGCCTTCACCATGGATCCTGGGACGATTTCGGTCATTTCACGGCCTTCCAAGGGTTTTTAGAGTTTTTTCGCATCCACAACCATAGGAAAACCATCGGAAAACCATAGGAATGATGATTAATGATGGTTAATGATGGCTAATGATGGCTAATATTGGCTACCCTCTGGAAAACGTTTACATAACGAACTGGAAAATCACCATGCTATTAATGGGAAAACTCACTATTTCTATGGCCATGTTCAATAGCTATGTAACAAATTACCAGAGGGTAATCGCATCCCCAACTCAATGGATTGGTTTAAGGGAAAATCTTAACCGGAAACCATGGATTTTACCATCAAATTTGATGGGTTTTCCGGTTAAAATTTTCCCATCATCCAATTCTATGACCAACTGGTTGGTGGTTGAGCCCTACCCCTCTGAAAAATCTGACTTCGTCAGTTGGGATGATGACATTCCCAATATATGGAAAAATAATCCACATGTTCCAAAGCACCAACCAGATATGGAACATCCCCCCTATTTGGGTCCCAAATATGTGTAAGTGCCATATGAAAAACCATGGCTTTCTTATGGTTTCTTGGGGCTGTTTAACTAAACGAGGCAAACGAGCGCTGAGGTCACATCCGTGAAGTCCCATGGTGAAATCCCTAAATCTGTTGGCGAAAAAGCCTCTGGTTCACTTCCCAGCAATGGCAGCTCAAATGGATTCGAATGGATGACGGAGCCATTTAGTTCGATGGTTTACCTATTGAAAATGGCAATATTTCAACATGAAACACCCCCAAGAGGGTGGATGTTGTTAACATTCACGATTGTGGACATGTCAATTATTGATATGTCAATGTTTATTCTTGCTTGTTCCATGTGCCACATTCAAGGCTGAAAACGTTTAAAAGGGGGGTTGCCAGAGTTAGGGAGCTAACGAAGGATATAAACCAATTTTGGGAAGTTTGGGGTCAGGTTGGATACGGAAATTTGGTCATCTTTCTAGCAGTGTATCATTTTTGTTGCATCCAATTCTAGGAACCATTGAATTCACGGCGCCAGGTGGTGCCATAATGGCTGCGAAGCGGCTGCATACGTATGGCACTGAGCGTAGCCAAGAAACATACGTATGGCATTATGGTGGTGCCACGAAACAGTTTTGTTTGTTGAATTTTATCACCCATAAAATCTAGATATAGCCAATATACCTATCATAGAATCTAGTGTTTGGAGTTATAAACCGACTTAGCTAAGCTATGGGGCACCACTCTTGCATCAGCGAGTTGCGCTGCTTCTTGTCCAACTTCACCTGTCGCAGAGCGAGCCACATCTTTTGTAGCGTATCCCATGCCCTGAAAGATTGAGAATCTTAACGCCCGGTTGCATCATGTTACACCCAATGCGCCCCCCCGCTATAAAGATTATATGGGGGGTTCAGGGGGGTTCCATAAATGGGTGTACCCAGTTGTCATCCATTTATGGATGGATTTTCCATAACAAAAACCATGCATTTAAGGAAACCTCCATATATCGCCGGGACGGGTCCCCCCGCATTCTTCTTCTCATGATCGATGTGGCAAAAGCCGCAGGCATAGCCCTTTTCGCAGCCGCCGGAGATGAAGTGAATGCCTCAGCAGAGCGATGCCCAAAACGTGTTATTGTTATGGTTATTGTGTTATGTTACAGTTACAGTTATGTTGTGTTATGTTATATTATTTTTTAATGTAACATATCGCATTTCATGGTAATTATTGAACGTATCTACATCTCAACAGGGGTCACCATGCCACTTTCTTTCATCTTTGACTAAACTCCTGCAGAAGACATCAATTTACATCAATCTACTAGTATGAGTGCATCTGGAAACGGGAGATTCCTCCAGATGGCAATGTCAATAGGAACAAAAAAACATCCGTTTTGGCTCGTGTTTTTTTGACCCTTGATCAATTGCATGGTATATGATTGCCATTGACTGACTTCCAATGATTCCATGGAGATCCGAGCTCACCCACCCGATCCATACCCTCTGGCAAACGTTTACATAACTATGGAAAATCACCATTTTCAATGGGAAAATCAACAATAAATGGCCATTTTCAATAGCTATGTTAGTTTACCGGAGGCACAGAAAGCTCGGTTTTTGAGGGTCATTTCCCCGCGATTCATGGGTTGACCATCCTCTGGCTGGATCAGTTTCACCCATCCCATGAGATTCATATGTCAACCGTTAAGCCCAATAGTTAACCATTGTGTTCTTGAGCAACTTAGTTAACTTAGCTGAGAAACTGGAAAACCCTGTTTAGCCATGATCATCTAAGCTCTTCTAGTCATCAATCACATTCAATCACCCCATTTGTTGGTGCTTCACCCGGCAATTTCATTCGATTCATCCCCAGTTTGATACTGCCAGGATACTGCATCATCGGAACCTATCAAGATCTATCAAGATCCATCAAGTATATCATCTATGAGTACGAATGGTAAACATGTGGCTATGTGTCAAGAACCCTACCCTGGTGAACCAAAAAAAATAGCTCGTAGATGGATCTTCATCCCCTCAAATATGGTACATTATAAAATAATGTCAAAAACCACCTATGACTGGGAATGGTTAAGTTTATACCACCTATAAAAATGCTGATGACTGGGGGACGGTAAACATGACATTGTTTTACCCACATTATAGCATATTATAGCTAGTTTATCCATATAATCCCATATAACCCCCATGGGTAATCACATGAAAAATCATTGGGGAAATCCATGAAATCATTGGGAAACATATGGAAACTCACCATTTTAATAGGTACATCATCTACAAATGGGTCATTTTCCAGTTTGCAAACTGTTAGCTGGTTGCTGGTTGAGCCTACCCCTTCTGCAAAATGATGGAGTTCGTCAATTGGGATTTTGACATTCCCAACTGAATGGAAAAAAATGTTCCAAACCACCAACCAGATATGGAACATCCTCCCTATTTGGGTCCCATATATGTGTAAGTGCCAAATGAAACCAAATCCAAATGTTAACCAGTGATTATTAACCATGATTAACTATCATTAACCATCATTATTGGTATATCATCCCATTATAAAGATGATTATCCCATTATAATCCCATATAATACCCATATATTAACCATATATTGACCATCATTAACCATCATTAACCATCATTACCCTATGATTTTCCCATGATTTTCCCATGGTTTTTCCCTATGATTTTGGTTACCCCATACATTTCACCAATGGCCACCAGTCACCACCAACCAGTCATGGCCAGGTCGCAGGGCCGCGCGCAAACCTCCGGATGCCCCAGGCTGCCCAGGCTTCCAAGCGATGGCGCAGCGCAGGATGCCTACATCCGCCGTGTTTCCAGTGGCAAAGACGCGACAAAAACACCGTGGACAACATAGGAAATCCAAGGAATATAATGGATACATTTATATATATATATATGCAATTATATGGAAAACTCAGGAGTTTTCACCCAAGAAAACTTAACGACTTGTCAAGTTGGGATTATCTCTGGGTAAATTGTAATACTAAGTAACCTGAAATCTGCGGCTATTTTGAAATAATCATTTTCCCGTTTCTGGTTAACGTAAAAAAACACATGAAATTCCACGGTAAACGTGTAGATAACTATGGAAAATCACCATGCTATTAATGGGTAAAACAACGAACTAAATGGCCATGTTCAATAGCCTTTATGCTCACCAGAGGGTAAAAGCCATTGAATTCCATTTCTGGTTGATTTTCCCTATGGTTGGTAAAGAAAATCATTAAATTCCCATGGTTTGGAACACATGGTGGCCATTTCAGGCAGCCGGCCTTGGCTGGCTGGACGGGTGCTTGAGGCAGGGCAAAGGGCTCTTCTGGATCCTGGAGCCGGCACAGCAGGAAAACCATGCCGGGAATTCATCATTGGATTGGTTTAAGGGAAAATTTGACCTGAAACCCCAATATATTTCATGGTTAAAACCGTTAAAACCATAGTTTCCGGTTAAGATTTCCCCTTAAACCAATCCACAGAATTCATCAACACATGATAACACACCGGAGTTCCACTACAATTAACCCATGGGAGTTCCAGTATGAATTATGAATTCATTCTGAAGTTGATGCTTCACATGAAACAATCAAGAAATGGAGGCAACATCAATGGTGCTATCTGCTGCCAACAAACGGTATGCATGGTGCATGATTCAGTTCGATCCGCCAAAACAATGGATTGAGCCAGTTTGGAAGTGATGGTAGTAGTAGTAGTAGTAAACATCATATAGTTCGGCATAACATTGCATTGCTATGGATTGGTAGTAAATGAGTGTTGTGGAAGGCACATGCGGCTAATCCTGGCTGCTTTCGGATACTGACAAGTGCCCCTGTGCAAACGTTTAAGCGTCCCTCAGTAAAATAGATGACCCCCAAAAAACAACCGCATTGGCTATGGAAAAAAACATTGCAAGAAAAAATGTACCCTCTGGTAATTTAACATAGCTATTGAAAATGACCATTTATAGTGGATTTACCCATTAAAAATGGTGATTTTCCATAGCTATGTTAGTTTACCAGAGGGTACATACAATGCCATGAATCATTCAGTTTTCTGAAAGGCCCATGGTATTTTCGATCGTTCCAAAGCCAGAAATCCCTCACGGTTCACCTCGAGGCGATCCAACAGGGCGTCCACATAGCTCTCCATGTCCTGTCACGAGGGGTGACTGCCCAGCCTGGGACATCCTCTCCAAATTCATTGGATTGGTTTAAGGGAAAATCTACAGGAAACCGTGGTTTTTACCATCAAATATAGGGCTTTCCTGTAAATTTTCCCATCATCCAATTCTATGACAAATAGCCTCCGGTAAACATACAAAAAGCTATGGAAAATCACCATCTTTAATAGGTAAATCGACGAACTAAATGGGCCATTTTCATCCATTTTCAATAACTATGTGAAATTACCAGGGGGTAAATTGACCTTTCAAAAAGGGACACTTATGGAACCAGATGACTTTCCAGCAAGCCATGTTTGACTACCAGATGGGTTAGGCAAACCAAATGAAACAGCACGGGGGTTGAAGATCTCCACGAACATCCAAGGCCATCCGCCTCCGCCAATGCATCAATTCTCCACATTTTGGGCATTTTTTTTGGCCAGATCAATGAGGGATTTCACTCTGCAAACTAAGGACTTCAAGGATAGACATAGGGGTATATATATATATATATATATATACATAATGATATATAATGATGTAGATATGTATATATTTTTGTGTGTAGGTTAACCATTGTTGGTCTGGGGCACTGGAAACTCGACCAGGCTGGCTGTTGGCCGTCGATTCTTACCAATGGTGTTCCAGATTTCCCCTTTTCCCACCGGTGCTAATTGATGGTTGGTGGTTGGTTTACAAGACACTCCCATTGTGCAAGTTTACCATCAATCCCACTCTGCACTTCAGTTGTAAGAATGATTGAAATGATGGTTATACATAGTTATCCGGCTTCTATAATGTTAGTAAAACAATAGTAAACCACCCCCAATGACTGACCATTTTAAAGGGTGGTATAAACTTATAGTATAAACTATAAACCATCAATCCATACCGTAGATGGACGAAATATTCAAACCCCTTCTATCCGGTACAATCCCCTCGCCCCCAAAGTTCAATGTTAATGCAACCTGAAGTGCAATAGCCCCAATGGATGAAAAAAAATCAAACCCCTAACATCACTTTTGGTAACACGCGCGCTGAAACATTGAGATTGGGGGTGCGGGGGTTCAACATAGTGTTGCAGGGTTTGAATATTTTGTCCATCTACTGCATGGCCTGCCTGTTTATGACATTGCTTTACTAACATTAGCTTATACTTTACCTTATTCTACCTAGTTATCCATGGTTATCTCACTTCTATACCGTCCCCCTTCCCCCAGGTTTCCCACACTTTCCTCTTACATCCTTGATATTAGTTATTGACTGTCCATTGGATATGATTATATCATACTATATCATACTATCTCATACTATATCTCCATTATGGGTTATCCATTGATGACTAAACCTCCATTATTGATTATACATTGATGACTAGACTATACTACACCTCCATTATGGATTTTCCACTGATGATTAGACTAGACTATATCATACTTTATATATCATACTTTAAATCTCCATTAAAGCACCCCGGGTTCCCCTGGGCGCCATCTCCTTCTCTCGCGCATCCAGTTCGTCGCCCCCGAGGGTGAAGCTCCGCCGCTCCGGCACGCTGCGCACGCGGCTGCCGCTGCCGCGCCGTCCATCGCCGCGGCCGGCGGCGTCGCCGGACTCCTCGACGTCGATGAAGCTTTTGCGGTAGGTGAGCCTCCTTAGGCAGCAGGCTGCGGGTGGGAAAATGTAGAGAAAACATTGGGAAAAGCCACTAAACTCAAGACCTGCAAATTAGGGATGACCAAGGCCTGGTATGGTCTGGTAAAATTGGAATGGTGTATGATAAGGCCGCCTATGATTTACCGAGTTAATGTTCATAACTTTCATATAGTGAGTTTGTTGATCAATATTTGCTGGACCAACATGGGAAGACCAACCTGATAACCCACGGCACAGGGAAGAATCCCCTGTTTGGGATCAAACTATTTTTTTGGGGGGGTTGCTTGGTGGAAAATTATCACTGGTTTGCTGCCGGGTTTTATTGTGCAGGTCTTGTGCAAACACCACAAGTTGGATAAAGTTCCTCGTCCGTGGTCTGTGTGGCATTATGCCATTGTGCTTCATTCATTTTCTGTTAGCGGTCGCACCTCCCTTATGGGACGACCCCCTCTGAATTCTGAAATTATAGTACCAGATTCTTGGCTGGAGAAATCAGAAACTCCAAGAAAGGCATTTTGGTTGGCACAAGGTCAGGGAAAAAAACATGCCAGCACGCACGGAGTTCAAAACCAGGGAGGGGAATTTTCACCATGAAAAATTTGGCTTTTTGACTGTGGAAATGGCTGGTCATCGTGAGGTTGGCCATGAGGTCTCTAAAAGAACTGCCAAGAAAGCTAGGTGTTGCCTCCACATTTGCCAAATTGTGCACCATACCCCCGTTGCCGTGTTGTTGCGTCATGGTCTCACAATCCCACATTCCCATGGAAACTGTTGTTTAATATTGAAACTTACCAATTTGGGGGCCCATTTATGGGTATTCAATGTATTTCATTTCATATTTAGGGAGGGGTCATTGCATGCGAGTGGTAAAGTTTATCAAGGGCATTGTTGGGAGGCTGTTCGAATACCTTTTTTGAAGGCAGCCAAAAGCAAGAAGCAAGCCCATGCTCGCACTGTTCTGTGTGTGGGAAACACTTTTTTCCTTGCACTGGGTTGAAGTCAGATGGTCTGCACATGGATCTTGGACATTGCAACCCAAAACCAGTCTGCTTTACCCCCAGCAGGCCGGATACTTAAGGCAATGAAACATGGGCAGCTTCCTGAAGATTGCAAAGTGCAAAGGTTGCCGCAAGCTTTACAAATTTTCAAGCCGCAAGCAAGATGATGAGCTCCGCTACCGTGACTTACCGTAATGGCCAAAACCAATTTGGCTTGAATTTGCTGCATGGTGGCACATGTGGCTCGGCTATGCAAAGAAATTTTGCTGTGCCAAAGTGGGAAACGCTCTGTGCAAACGTCTCTTGGATCTTTGAGAATCTTTAAGCATCTTTGAGCAAACCAAAGCCCAAAGCTAAGCTGTCAGATTTGCAGCGTGTACTCCATAGGGCGTTGTGAGCTGAGCCATGTGAGCCAAATCTTGAACAATTTTTGGGGTTTGAAGGGTTTAGTAAGTTTGGCCATGTGGCTTGAACCTGGGTCAAGCGGCATACCGAAGGTCACTATGAAATAAAAACATCGAAGCTCGCAACTTGCAACTCAGACATCAAACATCTGTGATCTTTGAAAAAACCTCAGCAACTGTTGCTGCTGGAAAATTGGCAGCTCACATACCACATGTCAAAAACCCTAAGTCGGCAGAGATGGTCAAATTCAAACTGAGCAATGTATTAAAATTGGCACTGACACGACCAAAAAAATCTCATTGATTACCTGATTACCTGGTTTGATTGGCTACATGAAAAATGGAGATTTAAGCTGGTTTCAGGCTGGGGTCAGCTGATCTCCAAAACTGCAAAAATCATAATTGTGTTTCAGGCTGTGTTCAGCTGATCCAAAAATCCAAAGCTGCCAAAAATCGAGCTTCGAAAATCGGTAGTTTTCCCCCCACGTTGCGACGTTGCGACGTTGTGTTTGCCGCCCTGCATCAGTTCGCTGGCTCTTTACAAGTGTAAGCTAATATGGTACTATGGTACGTCATACCCCCAGGCATGAGTCTCAACGTCTCCACTCCACATCACTTGGTGGACTTGCTGCCGCTCACAGAATTCATCTTCACAGCTGCTGTCTTAGCGTCCTGGAGTCAGAGTGGAGCCAGGCTGAACTCAAGTTCTCAAACTCAAGCGCAAGGCAAATAAAGGTACAGGTAGTTAGGGGATGGATGGATGGACCATGATTACCATGATGCGCCGCGTGTCACATGTCGAGTCAAGACCGTCGACTGTCAAGAGTCAAGAACAACTATCAAGAATCAAGAAGAAGAACAGCTGAGCTGAGATTTGAAATGATCGAGAATATTGGAGTTGCAAGTTGCAAATGCATACCTTTAGCTTCTACTGACTCTACCTCAGCTAAAGCACTCAAAAGCATGCCGCTCTTGTTTTTCTTGCTTTCCACCGTCTGCGTCGGTTTTCAACCCTTTCACGCCACTTGTGGCATGTTCAAGCTCAAGACGAGACCTGAAAGCCTAGAAGTAAAGAGAAACCTCCGTGCCAAGCTGCTGCAAAACAAAAGGTTCATCAGCTTTAGAACCGCCCCAGCAGGCAGACAGACACGCTAAGGGTCAAAGGTCAAAGGTCAAACGCAGCGCAGGACAGCCTGGCAGCCTGGCTGGCCGACTGGCCTGGCTGGGCTGGAATTGGAGCCACCCCACCAAACTAACACTTGAAAAAGCCCAGACTCTGACTCAGTCGAGTCTCAGAGACTCAGACTCAGAGTCTCTCACTGAGTCACGACGACGACGTCACGACTCTCTGCATTCGGCATTCTGATTCTGCACTCTCTAGGCACTCTTCTTCTGCTGCTGATTCCAAAATGCGAGCTGGGCTCTCGCAATGTCCTGGAGCGGGTGCTTGTTGTCCAAAAGTTTGATCATCTGCTCGATTTCTTCTGTGCCTGATTTCACCATCAAAGAGCGGCGAAGGCCAACAAGGCTGCTGCCATTCTCTACCTTCTCTGCCACCAGCCAAGCCGGCAGGACATAGAGCAAACTGCCTGGAGTCTGGACTGCAGGAATGATTTTGTCAGCCTTGTCAGCGTTTTCCTTCTTTTCAAGATCCTCAAAGCGGAGAAACTTCCATGCTTGGATCAGCTCACCCATGTTGGACGGCGGCTGGGCCATCAGCTGCATGAAATCCGTGATCTTGATCATGCAGACCTTGCGCACGCCAGAGTGCACAAAGCGAAGCTGGCCCAAAGCCTTGTCTTCAATGCCGGCATACTCCATGTCAGCACTGAATCCGAACAGGGCGGAATGCAGCAACGGCTTCAAGACTTTGCTCTCTGCTTCTGCTCCAGAAGCAGGCAAGGGCAAATGGAAGCTTCCGGTGACTTTGTCAAAGAAGGCTCCCACTTTCTCCTGCGCATCATCTCCCATGATCGGACACTGGGCACGCCCAGTTTGCTTGCAGATCTGTGTTCCCAGAAACTGATTGCCAAAGTTGACGAGCTGGCACTTCAGCGTAACATTGTCCTTCAAAAAATCCTGCAAAATGCAGAAGTTGGTGATCAGAAACGGCTGCTCCCCGGAGATGTTGGCTTTTCCAAAGTCAACAAAGTTGGTGAAGGTCTGAACCGTGGCTTTGAACTTCTGGATGTCAACCTTGAGCAAAGTTGGCTGAGCACCAGATCCTGGAGAAACAGCAGAAGCCTTTGCCTTCGCAGCGGCTGCGGCCTGTGCTTTCTGTTCCCTCTCCTTATCCTTTGCAGCCTTTTTTGCAGCTGCCTCCTTTCTTTTGACTTTACTCTTCACGGCATTGTCAATGTCCCGGGTGGACGTCTTGACAGCATTGCGGACCTGGGAGTGAATGGCAATGAGGTTTTTCACTTCAGTACAATTGTTCTCCAAACCCTCGTTGGTCTCTTCAAGCAACACCTTCTTGACGAGAGGGTCGAGATCTGCAGCCACCAAACAAGTTCTCAGTTGTGGCTCAGGAACAGGCTGGCAACTGATGCTCTCCTTGCTCTCCGTGTCAAGGAAGGTTTTCAGCTCCTCGGCAGTCTTGTTGGCCAGGATGTCAAGCAATTTCTCTCTGACAGTTAAGATGTCAAAGAAATGCTTGAGCTCAGCTTTCTCGGACTCATGCTTCTGGGCTACTTCTGCCGAAGCTGCCAATGCAGCAGCATGTTCACTGACCAGGGTCTTCAGAAGTTTTTGGTTCTTGTCAAAGTGGGTAGCACGGGCACGCACAACATCCTTCTGTCTTGAAGGCTTAGGCGCAGCCGGGGCATGCTCTGAGTCCAGCACTGACTCAGTTTCGGCGGGTCGGGTTGAAGAACATCCGGGAGAAGATGCTTGGCCAGAACCAGTGCTGCCATTCTTGTCATCAGAAGGCTTGTCAAAGGCACGCATCAGCTCAGCGCCCTCTTTGCTGTTTATTTTCTTCTGCTTGGTGCAGCTTTGTGTGTCCTGGAAATCGAAAATATGAAAAACATCCAGAAAAAGCAGGTCGGGGAATGGAGAACATGTGTTTGAAGTTTCAATATTGCATTGCACTAGTACTAGTGCTAGCATGCTAAAGTATCTCTCCCTTCAGTTGAAATTGTGAGACGCAATCACCACGTAAAATGACACGGCAAAGAACAACAAGCCACCACGTCAAAATGACACAGCAAAGTCAAACAAGTCACATAACTTCACAAGCTGCCACCTAGAAACGACACACCAAATTAAAACCAACCTTCCAGGGCCTGCCACGTAAAAATGACACACCAAAGTAGAACCTGCCTGCCAGGGCCGGCCACGTAAAAATGACACACCAAAGTAAAACCATGCCACGTAAAAATGACACACCAAAGTCAAACCAGCCAGGGCCTGCCATGTAAAAATGACACACCAAAGTAAAACCAGCCTGCCAGGGCCTGCCACATAAAAGTGACACACCAAAGTAGAACCTGCCTGCCAGGGCCGGCCACGTAAAAATGACACACCAAAGAAAAACCAGCCTGCCAGGGCCTGCCACGTAAAAATGACACACCGTCCAAAATAGAAACAAGCCGCCACTGCCACGTAAAATTACACAGCAAAGTAAAACACATGCATTCACCAAAAAAACAAACCCGGCCCAGAGCACCGGGCTCCTGTCGATCTCCGTTGACCTTTTCCTTCAGCCGGTACTCCTCAGTCACAACAGCAAAGCGCTTTTCAAAGTCTTTGCGGCCCTTGAAATCGTGGTCACGGCCCTGCGCCTCCATGTCAGACCATTCTTCCAAAGCATCTTTGGCAGTTTTGCCTTTGGACTTGCAAAACTGCTCGAAGTCCGGGAAATCCATGAAAACCTCTTTCTCGCCATTCACCTGCCTGTTCTCTGTGAAAACAGAAGACAAGTAGCTCACCCAGTCCATCTTGTCGCGAGGAACACCCTGCCCGCGGCTCGGGCACTTGCTCTTGTAGTGGGCAATCAAGTGCTTCAGTCCGGCCGAAGTTTTTGACAATCTCTTGAAATCGTCCTCCTTACCATCAGCCTTGGCATTGTTCAAGCAAGACTGGATGTCTTTCTTGCACTCCTTGCAGTAGTTGAACTTGACAACACAAGGCTCAACTTCACAAACCGCGCACATCTTGCCATCACCTCCTTTCCCACTACCCTTTGACAAGCGTCTCCTCTTTGGACTACGGTCACTTTGGTCAGAAGGAGTCGGCGGTATCTCTGGCTGTGAGGCATTGTCAGTTCCATCACCAAAATCCCAGTCAACCTGGCTGGCTGAGAAGTCAAACTGCTGAGCTTCCATGGTGGCGATCAG